GGCACTGGGGGCGCCACACCAATTTTCCAAGGGGGGAAACAAGTACAAAAAGGGCCACGCCCACGGGAACAAAGTAGGCGTGGTCCGGCGTCGCCCAAAACATTTTAAAAGTAGTCCAGAGGAAAATCCCCCGAAAATGTTGACAATTTAGGGATTTCAAAGGCTTATTTAATCGATTTTAATCTAAATGTAGAATAAACATACCATTGTTGTGGTTTTTCCCTCCGACGGGGGCCTGATTAACTAGCACCACCCCTGAGCTGAACTTGAAAATAGCACTCTTAGAAACAGAATAAAAATAATGTTTTTCAAAGTGTCTAAATTTGAAAGTATTACTGACGTTTAATTTTAAATATATCAAATGGGAGAGAATGGGAGAGAATGGCAAGTATTGGGAAAGTCTCCACGAAAAAACAAAAAAAAATCGATCATGTAAAACACTCTCAGACAGGAAATATAATTTCTAAAATGTCTTAATTTGACATTATGTCGTTCAATTTTTAATTTGATCAAATACGTTCTTGTGCATTTTTGGGGGTGAATAGAGAGGGCGAGTAGGCCTTCCAGACGTTTTAACACCCAGTTCAGCCCCACCATGGCTGGTGTAGAGGTGAAAAAAAAACTAAAATGGAGCACTGCTTTAATTGCCAGAAATAGCATTCTAAGACTTCTATATATCTGATATAGCACTGTTAAAATTATAATAATTTGACTTTGTGACTTCGTTAAATTTTAAGTAGATCAAAAAAGCAGGGGAAAGATCCAGGAGTTTTAACATCCACTTCAGCATGCACTGGTTGGGACTGAGTATATAATAAGAATGTAGCAACTCTAGCTTCCTGTAAATTGCTCTCTCAAACGGTTTCCGGTTTCCAAAGGGTCTTAGTTTGACAGTATTTTAATGCGCAAACATTTGTTTAAAATCACAAAAAAATCATAGAATCTTTCAGGAAATTCTATGAAATTCTTAAATTTAATGACCGAAAGTGGTAGACTAAACAAAACAGTAGACTAAATTTTGTGCAAAAAGAAATGTATGCAATCCCTAGGTCCTAGGAAAATGGGAATGTATACTCCCACGATCCCGCAAAAATAAACGATTCTGACACTCCATAATTCCAGCGCTGGTCAGTTTGCTCAATTGGATATTCAAATAAGTTTTAAATAAGTGTAATTTGTATGCGATACACATTTTATTTATTAATAATTTTAAATTGTAATAGCAACAATTTCAGTCCCTGGCTGGTGTTTTGAAGTTTTATTATGCCTGAATAAATTATCAAGACAAAATTTGAAGATTGCATTTGGTGAAACGGTAACTTGGAAAAAGAATGTAACATTAAAAAGGTAAGGTAGACCCATATTCATTATTGAACGTAGGGGAATGAGCTGTGAGCCCATCGTAAGCCTCGGTATTGTGTAGTCGGGTGGCCAGTTCCTTTCCACGCCGCTTCCCCCCCCCCCCAGCAGTGAGCCACCGGGTACCCATGTACACTCCTGGGTAGAGAGAGACAAACGCAGATAAAGTGCCTTGCCCAAGGACACGAGCGACAGACATGTACGGTAGTATAATGTGTTAGTTTGGAAAAATAACTGTGAACAAAATCAAAAATATTAAAAGATACATATAATAGAAACTACATACAACTATTTAAGCTTAATTTATATTGATGTAAGAGTTGATGGCATCATTCAGGCAAGTTGTCTTGGCAACAAATAAAGAAAGATGAGCATTTTGTAAATTTGCTGGTTGCTTAAATTAATCAATATACTTATTGAAATGAAATGATCAAATATAAGGCCTAAGTATAAACACATGATTTGGGGTCAGGGGTGGCGACAGAGGGGCTAGGGCCACTCAGTCAAGGAGAGCTGCCCGCCAACCGGGAGAGCACCTCCCCCACCCGCGTCGGGAAGAAAAACCTCAATTAGTTGGGAGGAAAAAAATTAAATATTTTCTACATATTCTAAAATCGATTAAATAAGCTTTTGAAACTCCTAAATTGTTGTATATTTCAGGGGCTTCAATACAAAAGTTTTCATTTTTAAATAAGTTGATCTAAAATAATAAATAGGCAATGGATTAATAATAAACCTCTCAATTTAATCCCTATATTGTCGGGAATTTTAAAAGATTTGCCCTAGAAACCCACCCTCCATCCCACCGCCACTGTACCGAACCAGCCGAATGAAGCTCACTTTACTCGTGAAATGTTTATACTGTAGTAAATTGGACAACCAACCCACAAGCAGAATTGTGATATAGAACAACTATACTGTTGATAGGTTGTGAAGGGATTCATGAGGTTTCAACCCAAGGTTGCGAGTATTTCATGGCTTAAATTAAAAAACAAATATAAATAAATAAATATAAAAATATATTGTGGCGCATCTCATCAATATTGATGGTAACATCAGGCCTCATTTACCAAGATATACAAAAAAAAAAAAAAAGTGAATTTATGTCAGTAAGTCAGTTAGTTATGTACCTTGTTAAAAAGTGTATTGAAATTTAATTGCTATAATGAAACGATGTGTAAATATTATATATTAAAGATCTCAAGATATAACCCGTAGCTTTCTATCTTTGTTGGTTGTTGATGGAATAAAATACAATTATTAAAATAATAAACAAAATTATATTAATCATAAATCTTAATGAAAATTATCATTTATTAAAGTACTGTAACTTCTAGTAAACCATGTATGAAAATAAGGTTCTGAGAAGGAAGTTTATAATATGATTAAATATTCGGTTATGTTTCACAGATAATTACTTTCATCAAAAATAATATATGATGCAATTGCCAAACCATCACCATAACAATATCACAATGTGTATGCGTGTTAGCATGCACTAGCAGCCACTTAATGGAGCTATTCACCATCAGAAGCTTTGTCCTCTCTTGGACGATATTCTAGGTGGTTTAATGCACACACAAGGTTGTTTACACTGGCCCTACAATTTACAGTCCTTATTGGAGAGGACTTCAACCACCAACACATGGGCAAAGATAGCTGCTTGAACCAGCTCTGATATTATGGCTGTAAGATGCAGCACCCATACATTAAAGTCTCGGTGAATCAACTTGATCATGTGTCATAACCTCATATCAGGTGTTATTGAGAAGGCACTACATATCCACTGCTTGTTCAACTATAAAATATAGTTCACAAACCGCACTGTTTTTCAAACAATGTGCTAATTTGGTAAGAGATCTGTAAAACTTGATCTTCTTATCAATCACAATTGAGTCATTTGCCATAAATTAATAATACAATAACAGAATTATAATCATAAATGAGTTTATATAATTTGACAATTTAAATATAAACAATATCACCAACTAACAACCTCTTCTAGAGATATAGACATAGAAAAACTGTATTATGAGAAAATTAAATTTCTATGTCAATTAATTAGCACATTTATTTAAAGTTCTTGATAATGACCATGTTCCCGAATGCAGGGGTCTGAAGTCTCCTGCAATCCGTGTGATTCTTCTGGAAATCAGGAAGGTTTCTCGCAAGCCTGCAAGCAAGCTAGAATCTCCAGGAAATTAACCCATCCTCCATCAAGTTACGATATATTTATGTTTTTACTATACTGAATTATTAATTGGCGAGAGTTTGTGTTCTGTTGATGACTGGCAGTGAGTTTACATGTAATACAATAGTGGTATGTTGGACAAGGGTGGATCAGTGGCGGCGCCAGTGGGGGAACAGCAGGGGCAAGCCCCCCCCCCCATCGGACAGAGTTTGTCGGGCAGTCGGACTAAAAAAATGTAAAAAAAAGGCTCGCGCCAAGCCAACAGATGCCTGTCACAGTCTGAGAATGCCATTTCTGCCCATCCAGAGGTTCCTCTTTTTAAAAAAATCTCATTTGGGAGGGTGAACACCCTCTAAAACCCTTCCTCCAGCTTGGGCCTATGAACTCAAGTCCCAGCTCCGCCCCCTCAGAAAATATATCCTAAAGCCGCTACTGGGGTGGATGTGAAACTCACACCTCGACACCCTAAGTGAACGTTGTCGGACTTAAACTCGCGTCCCTGGCAGAGAACGTGAGAACAAATCTCCTAGAAGTTGTATCTTCTAACACCCCTACCAAATGGTAGCTATAATCGGTAGAGAGACAAATCACACCGCTTGGCTGTTCATGATATTGACCATGTTCCAGAATGGTAGTCATCCTTGTGTAAAGTGTATAGAGATGGACCACACCGCAATATTCTACCGCCACCAAGACACTGCTCACCATAGTAGAAAACTGCAAACTACAAAAACAAACAATCAAGAGGTAAACTTCAATTACATTACAAGTTAGACTTGATTATAATTTTAATTTTAATTTGCATGTAAAAATTAAACATAAAAACAAAAATAGAAAATACAGAGCCGAATAATAGAGAACGGACGTGTCACGGCGCTGCTCCTGCGGTCGACGTTTCTGCTCGCTTTTAGTTACCTTTCATTTTACCTTTTTGCTGTTGTTTGGTGAATTGTCTGTGCCGTGTCCGTTTCTGCTGTGTTACTTTTAATGATATTGTGATGGTGTTTGCTAAACGTGGTTTGTGTGGATTTTTGATAATAATAATATATGCCTTTGAAATAACCATGACAAATATAACAACAATAATAATGATAAATATAATCATAATAATAATGATAATTGCAATAATAAAATAAAATTAAATCAATTTAATGAAAATAGCGATTGTTGTTGTTATTGTTGTTATAACTCTTTGTCTCTTGAGTAGTTTCTCCTTGTTAAATGTTGTTTATTTTTATTTTTTATGGGTTTTGATGTACTTTGTTAAATTTTTATGTGATTTTAATGTAATTTTAATGGGTGCGAGCTTTTGTAATTTCTTCGTTTTCTTTTTAATGGAGACAATAAATTTTATCTTGTATCTTGTATCTTGTATTAAGCTAACTGCTTAAAACAACCACAACTTTAATCTCTTTAAGGTTCATTTTAAACAAACTCCAGGATTAATTCAGATGATAAATAACTCATTTTCCTTTGCTCTAAAAATACCTCAAAATAATTACAAAAATGTTCTCACCTGACCAGGTGTCAATGCCCGGAGTGGATTGACCAATGAGATCAAAATGCTGTCGTCACTATTTAGTGTCAGCATACAATCAACTAAAAAAAAAATCAAACAAGAATTAGTTAATTATCACATCTCTAAAAAAAGTCTGTATTTCATGTGTACAGTACTTTCTAACTAGCTGGGGGGTCTGTTTGGATGTACAGAATGGTTTTTATCTAGACTAGGGTCTGTCTGGACATGAAGGGTGGTTTCTAACTAGCCTGGGGTCTGTTTGGACATGAATTGTGGTTTCTAACTAGCCGGGGGTCTGTTTGGACATGAATTGTGGTTTCTAACTAGCTTGGGGTCTGTCTGGACATAAAGGGTGGTTTCTAACTAGCCTGGGGTCTGTTTGGACATGAAGGTGGTTTCTAACTAGCCTGGGGGTCTGTAGTGTAGTTTCAAACCACCCTGGGGGTCTCACTGAACATGCAGGGTGTTTATTCAACTTGCCTGGGGGATCTGTATGTTGGAACTTGAAGGTACATTTAAATGGCTCTTTCTGCTGGAGCTGTGCCGGCATTGCATTTATCCAATGAATCGGCTCAGTAATGACAGAATCTGTGAACAGGGATGGATGGCTTGTTGATGGTGCCTATGGAATCAAGAAAAAATATTGTAACATAAGAATGAGACAGTTAAGAATAATGTTTATCTTCCAATTCAAGACTTGAAAATGTGGGGTGGTTTTGGGTGTGGTCTTCATTTAGAGTGTTAGCTTTGTTTTAAAGGATTGACAATTGTTAATTAAGTAAATGCTTGCCAAGCCACTAGGGCCTATAGAGCTGGAACTTTCTGTAGCGTGAAGCGGATGAGAGTGTGATCCTCCCCCTAGGTGGGACACTAGTCCACCACAGGCTACTCCCAGAAATTTGCTGTACCCATTGATAAAGCTGAGTAGACTGAAGCAATGTAGATAAAGTACAGTACCATGCTCAAGGACACAAATGAAGTGCAGAGCGAAGGATTGAAGCACGGACCTTGAGGTTGGGAAACCAAACCGTTTCCACTGTGCCAAACTGCCTCTACCGATTGTTAATTGGTTTTATTGAAAACCAAGCAGTTGTCTTGAATAAGAGGGGTCTCAAATTGGAGTGTGCACTGGCAAGGTAGTACAATGTCAAATCATTTAAAAGATCAGTAATTGTAATTAATAACATTAATGTTATATGATTCTAATTATTATTTTATTATAAAATTAATTACTACTTTTACTATGAGTATTATATCAAAATCAACATTGTAGATGTAAGCAAGGTACAAGGAACTGTAGGCAAGATAAAGGGAGTTGTAACACTTACAACATAAATAGTTCTTGTTTGAGGATCTTTGTCCACCACAAACCATTTGTTGTCCATGCCTGGGATCTTGGCATTCTGTCCAATGGTGTACAAAAAACAACCTGCAATAAAGCAGACACCACAAGCTTAAATGTTGTTTAATTGTATGTATATTGTGTAGGGAAATACTTTTATTTTTCAGAAAACTGACAGACTAATGAAGGCGTTTAAGTGAGAAGATATGAGAAGTTAAAAGTCAATAGGTAGTTTTTGCCGCACGATGTTAACCTTTACTTTAACGTTAGTACCCATCATGCAACGCAATAGCTCCGCCCCTTTTTGTAACCAAATCAAAATATGCATGCGCAAACCCGTAATTAAAGTACGTCGAGCACGTAAAATCCTGAAATTTACTTACTCCGCAACACAAGATGAATAAATTATGACGTCATCCGTTAACATTAAGGTTAACGTCGTGCTGCGAAAACTACCCATTATATTTCCCTTCATTAACTTTACCATTGTGATGTCCAATGACTTCTGCATCTTCTATTGAAATGAAGTTTCCGGGAGCTGGATCAACATACTTTAAAAAATGTAAGAAACAAAATATTTTTTTAATGAATTCGTACTTGTTCAAGTATGTTGTAAAAGAAGTCATTTTGATGCTCGTATAGTGTATTTTCTTGATAGATTTAAATTTTGTACTGATGTTTTATGTGATTAAATTTGAAAATTGGTAATTCAATTCAGCTCTTTGGCTGCTATTGTACTGATGATGAATAAATTAAGAAATTAAAAAACAATAGAAGTGTTTAAATTCAAAAGTTTTCCCTACCTCCTGAATAAATTCCTTGAAATTTCGTTGGCCTATAAAACATATTCCCATACTCTGAAAAAAATGTTTCCATTTGTCAAAAAATGCTGACTCCTAAAAAAAGTAAACAACCAAACCCAAACATAATTCCATTCAACCTTTTAAATATTTATTTATTTGTTTCATTTATTTATTTTCAATCTTTCGACAAAGAAACAACAAAATAGGTTGAACAGGGGCACCAAGGAAAACCAAAATTTAAAAAAAACTGTGCTTAACCAAGCCCCTACCAACAATGATAATACATATACATAAATACAATACAAAACCGTTCAGATATACCAATGAAAGAAATTTAAAATATGAACAAATTGTACCTGTAACAACTAATAATACATGCACAAATTGTTCTATTAAGCAGCCATACTCTGCAGTAAAATTGTTTACAATTAAAAAGAAATAATAGTAATAATAATAATAATAATAATAATAATAATAATGATAATAATAATAATACAGTAATTATATTTATATTATAATCTTGCACATTCGTAAAAAAAAAAAAGAGTTGAGTTGAATAGCTTGGTGATTGAGATGCTTGCCTTCCAAATCCCAGGGTTCTGGGTTCATTCCTGTCACAGTAGCAAGATTTTTCTCGCGTCCAAAACAACGCCCGCTTATACAAAACGCCATTGCATGCCTTATCAGCGCGGCTAAGTTAAGTGTGTTGTATAAAGAAGGTTGGATTCCGTGTGATTACAAAACCATCTGGAAAAGAGACTACTTGAGGAATCGCCAAATTTGGCTGGTTTGTGACCCTGGCGGTGCCTACTTGTTCCCTCAACTTGACAGGTCGCTATTTCGGTAAAATAAAAAGTACTGCTGGATGTATTTAGTGATTTTCTTGTATATTACCTTTTCGTTGGTTTCATTGATCTTTAACTATTTTTTTCCCTTTTAGTACTGTACTGTAATTTTATTTTGGATTTGTAGATTTCTGTGACAGACCTTACTTTTTAGGCCTTTTTTTTGTTAATGGTGCAGCTTAAGTGCAACTGATACAATGCTGTACATGGAAATAAACTGATATTATTATAGATTATAATATTTTCTTTGTATTTATCACTTGGCAAGTAACGCGACGAAATCAAGCACATGTCATTCTTGTCTTGTCGCTCCGCAAGCCTATGGTCTTCCTGCTCCATTCATCTGTCAGACTAGCCTATCATCAGACAGAAACAGTCAAAAGATTGTATTATCCCATGATACTCAACCGTTAGCAATTTGGTAAACACAATAATTAGTAAAGTAACCACAAAATAGGATTAAGAGAGAAAATTTTAAGGGAATATTAACACAATCGATCAACTGTAAACAATCCACTCCTCTTCCAAAAAACAGACCGTGCAAATTCAGCGGAAGGATAGCAGAGTTTCACTGGTTTAACAATGTACTGGTATCCCAAAATACATTGCGCCATACGATACTTTCGGTATGTAACACACGTACTGGCGTGTTGTATAAACGGCGAAGATTGGAGGGTCACCTTGGGTAGTGAATATACATCAAGGACATAAAACCTTGTTTGTGGTTTAGGGTGCTGTCTAAACATGATCTTAGTTTACGTAGAGCATCTTGTGTTTATGTTTGTCTTGTGAAAGGATACGCCACTTTGAATAGTGATTAAGTTCGCTGCTTGGCATATCCTTGGCCCTAAACCAATTAATAAAAATAAATAAATAAATAAAATCAGAAGACACAAATTTTTATTTGAATTATTTTTTTTTTTCAAAATTAATTATTAACACTGACCTCTTTTTTCTTAACAATTTTGTGCAAGCCCGCCTGTAATGCAATCTGTCTGACGACACTCTTAGTGAGGTCACCGACTGGAAATACCACTTTCTGAAGTGATTCCTGCTTAACTTGAGACAAGAAGAACGTCTGGTCTTTCCAAAGGTCAATGGCTTTGATTAACCTGACCTCTAAAAAAATAATAACATGGAAACTTTAATGTACCCCCTTATACACATCTAGATGTGTATAAGAGACAGAAACTGCCTCTACCGATTGTTAATTGGTTTTATTGAAAACCAAGCAGTTGTCTTGAATAAGAGGGGTCTCAAATTGGAGTGTGTACTGGCAAGGTAGTACAATATCAAATCATTTAAAAGATAAGTTATTGTAATTAATAACATTAATGTTATATGATTCTAATTATTATTTTATTATAAAATTAATTACTACTTTTACTATGAGTATTATATCAAAATCAACATTGTAGATGTAAGCAAGGTACAAGGAACTGTAGGCAAGATAAAGGGAGTTGTAACACTTACAACATAAATAGTTCTTGTTTGAGGATCTTTGTCCACCACAAACCATTTGTTGTCCATGCCTGGGATCTTGGCATTTTGTCCAATAGTGTACAAAAAACAACCTGCAATAAAGCAGACACCACAAGCCTAAATGTTGTTTAATTGTATGCACGGCGTTAACCTTAACTTTAACGTTAGTACCC